ATCGGTATCCTCAATTTCCCTAGCTTTCTCACCCATCCACTTAGTTTCTTGTATGCAAGTTATACTAACTCTCCTCCTAATCATAACATCTACCAACTCCATCGTCTTACCAGTTAAGGTTCCTATATTCCAAGTGGCTACCTTAAACCCATAGTCTTGGACTAGCTTCTTTATCCGCACTCGTCTAGGAAAACGCGGAAACCTTTGCCCATTTTTCACTGCAGCCAAGCATCGATGTGACCCCCCTTGCTCACTTTTAGAAACACCCGGAGGCAAGCGCAATGCATCACTTGAGGGCAACGACCTAGCATTTAAAAATCCTTATACATTTTTTTTCATTACATCTATTCTTTTTTAATTGCTCCAGTGTTTTGTTACCGAACAAACTATATTTTGTAAGATTATATGGTCTATATACGAGAAATCAAAACATTATGAATATAATTAACTACTAAAATATAAACTTAGATACATACGGTTTAATTCCGCCACTGTCTTGAGTTTTGCTTTCTTCAAAGAAGATGGTATTCACAATCGAAAAACCTTAGCACTAGCTCTTCCCTTCCTTCTCCTAATCTTTGTGTTGTCTTTTCAATGGGACTGACGACCCTTTGATCCACATATATATAAATATATGTAAAACCCAATAGAATAGGAAAGGGGACTGGGCCTAAATAAAACAATTATTGAGCCCTCCCATTAAGGAACCCAAATAACTTAAAACAAGCTTTACACTTCCATATCACATATCCACATATAAAATAATATATACACTAAGATGACCATGGCCCAAACTTTATGGATCACAATAATAATTTTGGGTTCATACCGGTCAATCTATCTGAATCGCGTTCAACCCGTTTTTCACAAACTAAACAAAATATAGTTAATGACAGCCTAATTAAGAATAAATTCTTACATTGTTTAGCTTCATTTTTTGTGTATTGGTGGTAGAATAAGTTTTCTCATGTTTCACATAGTATTTAAAAGTAAGACTTTCAGTTAGGCATGGAAACACAAAAAGAATTGCTTTAAGAGTGGGATGGAGAAGGTGTAATATTTAGAATGACATCAAGCCTCTGAAATTTCTGCCATAGTTGTAAACAAAGTTAACAACAAGTATACAATTGTTCAAATGCTTTCAAAATATGAAGAAATTTTGATAACGAAGTTTTTCCATATTGGATCTCAAAATATGAAGAAATTTCTTGGGTTCGTAGATAAGTAGTACATGTTTTTGGGCATTGGTAAAAAAAGAGTTGGCAATGAGGCATTCCAAATTTAGGGGCCTAAAGTGACTACTTTGTTCATTTGGGCCTTGAGCTGGCCTTGTATTCTTGTCAAGTTTGAAAAATCTAGAAATCCTCTAGATGTTGATTTGTGATTATGTATAAATTTTAAGCAATATATAACAATCCCAATCAAACAATCAAGACAAATCGACACAACGATTTTACATGGAAAAACCACAATTTGACACCTCCAATTGTGATAAAAAACCACGGACAACAGCCACAAAACAATCCACTAAGAAGATATAAAGGAATTACACAGGTATACTCTCAATTACCTAGCGAATCCACGCCCGAATTGAACCAACCTCTATGTGCCTCTTCCAACCCCGTCTTCACCTCGGAATTATCTTGACGATGAGCCACTCCGGAAATCCGCCAAAGCTTCAGGCTCGAATTCTTCAGAATCCACCGAAGAACAAATCTCTCTTTTGTATAGAACAAACAAATAATCCTTTGATGTATACTCTTTAAACCATGAGTTGAATACTCAATCAAAACATCAAAGAAAACTAGTAAAATATCCCCAAATATAAACCTTAGAACCCAAAAAGAAGATCTGGAGGAGTTATTCAAGTTTTGGGAGAAAACCAACTACTTATAGAAATCCAAAGTAATCCTAGTTTTGGAAGAAAACCAATTCCTTATAGAAATCCAAAGTAATCCTAGTTTTGACCCAACACGCGAATTTATAGAATCTGTCCCGCGATCTCCGCTCGAGCGCCCAACAGCCCGCTCGAGCGGCTTCAGCAAAATATGCGCGTGATATACCAGAGGTACGCTCGAGCGCCAGAAAGCCCGCTCGAGCGCGAAATCACACATTCCAGTATTTTTACAGACCTGACAAACTGCTGGAACCAGGGATTCTCCGCTCGAGCACGGGTATGTCCGCTCGAGCAGACAGGCAATTTTGAATGCATTTTTGCATTTTGCTTCGGGGGCGCTGCCCCTCGACCCCGCTGTGGCGCTGCCCCGGACCCGCCAAGGGGCTCTCCTTTACTCTATTTCTTTTATTCTTGTTGTTGTTTTGTACACAACAGAATTAAATCCTTTTAAATACAGTGAAGATTGTCCAACAAAATTTAGACAATTACACCACACTTTCTAAAAGAAATCACAATGAAGTAGTGAGTGATTAGGTGTTTTAAGATAGTCTTCAACAAGCATACAAATGGCCTCACATGAATCCAAGGACCGAGGCACGTGAGGCTCAGGGTACCTGCTCCTCTCAACTAGCAAGAAATTACACATGAATACTTATAATTGGTTAATTTGTTTACAATAATATATTATCATGTAATTCAGTGATTCAAAACAGTAAAATAAACAAGTGATATATGGTTGCTTCTACATATGATTTATTCACCTTTCCCTTATTTCTTTCTCTATCCCTCTCTACATCTCTTTTTGTGTTATTTAACTTGAGCTTATATCTAAGTATAACATTTTCATCACACTAATTTTTAGTCCTACCTTCAAATAAACATTAGGTTAATTTGGATTTTGAATTTTGTTAAGATTCCAATTCAATTGTGTCCTTTTTGAGTTAAAATCCTGACTCCGCAACTGCACGGGTCATTCAAAACTGCTATTTCTAGTAATAAGAAGCTCTTCCCCTGTATTTTTCTTCTTTTTTTTATAATTTTTTTTTTCTTTGCTTTGCCAATGTAAAATATATTTAAAAAAAAAAAAAACTCCTAGTTTGAGTAACAATGTAGAAGCGGAGAAACTCTCACTGAGTTAACCATCCAAACATTACTTCCTCAGTGGGGAAATGTTATTCTACAGTTAGTTGTCATTTTCAACAGTTGCATCCAATAAAGATTCAAGGATAAATGGATTTTTTTTTTAATAAAAAATAAAATAAAAATACCTGAGCGCTCAGCCGTCTATTACATATTTTATGAATTGTTTTTAGGGGGAATGACCAGAGGTGGAGGCTGGCAGTGGCAGATGTTGTTCTCCAAACAAGAGTCGAACAATTTTTTGTTCTATACTACTTAGAAATTTTAAAAGTTGCTACCATGTTTTTAAAAATAAAAATAATTGTCAAATGTGTTTTCCTTTAAATAAAAAAACATAAAATACAAACATTATCGCATATAAACTTAATATTTATATATTTTTTTGAAGATATTCCTGTGAAGTTGGAAAACTATGCTGATCAAGACCACAATGGAAGAGTTCAAAAAAAAGACCACAATAGAAGTGACATTGAGAATGCAGTTAACAACTCCCAAGTTATTACACAGACGTACAGTTGGGCTCGACTTTTAGGGGCAAACTTCTCGAATTCTGGTTTGTTATGAATTCCTTATTATTCAACTTGAATAAAGGGCATTATAAGTTTGGTGAATATAGGAATTCAGAGAAATTCAATATTAGCAGTGCTACGGAAACATAACTAGCAATTGACCTGTTCGATACATGTGATAAAACAACAAATTTTAAAAATAAATTTTATACAACTTAAATAATTATATTATATAATATAAACAAATACGTTGTTAGGTATTTGAGGTTTGAAGTGTCATCCCTTTTTTCTCATATTTTTATTAATTTATGTTAATATGTGTCGCAATCTGATTGTCCTATAAATTAATTTTTTATTTTTTAAAATAATATTGTAAATTTGGATACTTCCTTAAATTATGGTAATAAAATTGAAATGTTACTTTAAATTATGCGCCCTTCTTCCATAATAATTAAATAGAACTAATTCTTATGATCTGATTATTCCATATAAAACCTTAAATTTGGAGTTTGGCTCCTCCCCAATTCTAAGGGAATTGGAGGATCTTCCAATCTTTCAAGACAAAGTGACACATGGACTCTTAATGCATTCAACGGTCCAAATCTTGACAAAATAGCAAATTCATTTATTATGCTTAAAATATTCCTTTTGGAGTCAAATACTCACTCTAATGGAGCCGAGAGCCTTCATCTCTATTTTTCGTTTGTTTTTTTGCCAAAAGTTGCAATGCATAATATGATGGAAGATCATCCAGATTTCTTAAATTTTCAGCCCAGAACATTTTTTGCCCTCAAAATTTTCAAGCCTTAATGAGATAAGGATTCCATTATTTTCATCTTTTTTGACCTTCATACTTCAGATTGTACGACACAATAATAAGAACTTTAGCTTTGTTGTCAATGTATTGATTGTAATTATGGTTATCAAAATTTCAATATGGATTGTAGGATGTTAAAATTTCAAAATTATTGACATACATTGTCATTATTGATAATTTTTTATTTTATTTTAATTTGCACTAAAAAGTAGAATTTTACAATTTGATCCATAAGTGCTTCCCAATAGTTCCACTTAGGATTTTAATTTTAACAACTTTGATTGTAATTTTTTTTGAGAAAGAACACTACTTGAATTAATTCTCATTAAATAAAAGTGGAACAGTAATGGAGAGCCTAATCCCAATTCTACATTACCAGTAATGGACCATACTCATAAACTTAGTAAGGGTATTCAGGCCCAAGTGGGAACGTCTTTATTATATTCTCAATCTCAGCCCATAGCTACTTTAGGGATAATTATGGGGGAGTCTAGCCAGGCCCAACCCCAAAATAGCAATGTCATTAGGTCAAAGAAAATTGTTGTTCTAGAAAAAGGAAGCAGGGGAGGAAGGTATGTTCAAAAGGAGGTAAGGGAGAAGGGGTGGTGGGTCGTTAACTAAGAAAACTTAGCAGAAAGGACCTATGTTCAGAGTGGCAACATCAGTCCTTTCTCGTTCAAGCTCAATTGGGCAAAGCTCATCCAGAGTTATGCGTATAATAGAGAAGGCCGGAGAAATTGTAAAAGTCGGCAAAGAGTTGGGAATTGATTTTAATGGAAATGATGAAGAAGCCTTGAGAAGAATTGTTGAGCTCGAAGAGGATGATGCGGCGAAGGTTGCATAGGGAAATGATGGTGTTCGTCATTGAACAACATTATCAGGAGGTATTGGTGTTTTCCAATATTTTAATGAAGCTCTTGTCTTGGAATGTTAGGGGTCTTGGGCAACCTGAAAAAAAGGAGGATGATAAAAATCCTGCTCAAAGAAAGAAAGATTGATTTTGTGTTTTTGCAAGAAACAAAGAGATCAGGGATGTCACTTGAAATAGTGAAATCAATATGGCCAGGTAATGATATGGAGTACATGTTAGTTGATGCTGAAGGATTGTCTGGGGGCCTCTTGTGTATATGGAAGCCTAGTTTATTTTCACTTTCACAATGTTGCAGCAATAGGAACTTTATCCTTTTGTTAGTTATGCTTCAACCTGATTTTAACTGTGTTTTGATTAATATTTATGCCCCTAATGAAGTTGGAAAGTTTAGGGAGCCATGGTTTATAGGGAGGGGGGATTTCAATGAGATAAGGAAGTTGGGTGAAAGAAAGGGTTGTACGAGGGGGGCAGCGGAATGAGGGCTTTTAATGACTTCATTGAAGGACTAGAATTATTTGATTTACCAATGCAAGGTAGGCAATTTACATGGAGTAATTCCAATGATAGAGAAAGGTGGAGTAGAATTGACAGAATTATACTCTCAGCAGAGTGGTTGGAATGCTTTAATTTTAGGCTTTGGGGCCTTCCAAGAGGGGTATCTGATCACACTTCTCTTTTATTGATGGAGGATGCTAGGGATTGAGGGCCAAAACCATTTCGATTCATTAATGCATGGATATTGCACCCTCAGTTTATATCAGTTATGAAGAAGTCTTGGTTGGAATCAGGTGTTATAGGTTGGGTTGGGTATGTCATTCAAACAAAGCTTAGGAAGCTTAGATTGAAGTTAAAGCAATGGAACACTGAGGTATTTAGGAATGTTACTCACTCTATGAAAGTTGCAGAAGAGGAACTACATAAGCTTGACTTGTTGGCTAAATGTCGGGAGTTGTCTGAAGTTGAAGTAGCAAGAAGAAGGGAGATCAGAAAAGAGGTATGGTCACTAAACAAAAAACATGAGTGGATGTGGCTCCAAAAATCCAAAATGGATTGGAGTTTGAAGGGAGATAAAAATACGAGGTTTTTTTTTCTTCATGTTATGGCTTCCAGTAGGCAGAATAGGAATTTGCTAAGCTCGATATCAGTGGGTGGGGTGCTATTTGAAGAACCACAGGGAGTGAAGCATGAGGTTTTCAAACATTTCAAAAAAGTGTTCTCAAAAGATTGGAGGTATAGGCCAAAGCTTAACAGGCATTTCAATTCTATTGGTAATGATTGGTTTGCTGAAAAACTTGAAGCCAGATTTATTGAAGAGGAAGTTTGGGCTGCTGTTAAGAGTTGTGATGGTTATAAAGCTCCAGGACTTGATGGGTTTAATTTGATGTGCTTCTAAAAGTGTTGGAAGGTTCTCAAGGCTGATGTCCTTTAATTTTTTAATGAGTTTCATGAAAATGGAAAGATAATTGGTGGTGTAAACAGCTCTTTTATCACTCTCATCCCCAAGATTGATGGACCAGTCAACATCTCTGATTATAGACCAATCAGCGTAATTGGGTCATTGTATAAAATTCTTGCTAAAGTTCTTACCAATAGATTGAAGCAAGTAGTTCATAGAGTAATTGGTGAGCCATAATCAGCTTTCCTTGGGGAAAGAAATATTTTGAATGGGTTACTTATAGCAAATGAAGTGGTTGACTGATGGAAGCGAAGTGGAAAAAAGGGATTGATCCTAAAATTGGACTTTGAAAAGGCCTACGATGCTGTCAGTTGGAAGTGTTTGCTTTCTATGATGCATGGGTTTGGTTTTGGAGATAAATGGAGGAAATAGATTAAGGAGTGTCTGGTCTCATCCAGAATTTCAGTCCTTGTTAATGGGTCTCCAACCCTTGAGTTCACTCCAGAAAAGGTCTCAGGCAGGGGGATCCAATGTCTCCATTCCTCTTTAATATTGTAGCTGAAGGGTTAAATATGTTGTTACAAAGGGCAAAGTCAAGAGGCTTAATAAGAGGGGCTGTGATAGGTCATGGTGAATCAACAACAACTGTAACACATCTTCAATTTGCCGATGATACGATAATTTGTTGTGAAGTAGATGGGGAGGAGGTGCTGCTAATCAAAAGGATCTTGATATGCTTTCAACTAGTTTCAGGCCTGAAGATAAATTTCCATAAGAGTTATGTATGTGGAGTGAGAGTGTCGGAGCCAGTGTTGGCGGAGTGTGCATCTAGATTGAATTGCAGAAAACAAAAGCTCCCTATCTTATACCTTGGGCTACTATTAGGTGCCAATCCCAAATTAAAGAAAACATGGAAACCTATCATTGATAAGGTAAAGGCTAAATTAGCATCTTGGAAAAGGAAGTTGCTGTCTTTTAGAGGTAGGCTTACTCTCATTAAATCTGTTTTATCTAGCCTTCCTGTGTACTATCTATTTATATTCAAGTTGCCTCAATCTGTGGCAAAGGAAATTAAAAGTTTGCAATCAACTTTTCTTTGGAGAGGGTTTGATTTAAAAAAGAAGATCCATCTTGTCAAATGGGATGAGGTTACTAAAAGCAAAGACCAAGGTGGACTGGGAATCAGAAGAATTAAAGTTGTGAATGATTGTTTGTTACCTAAATGGTGGTAGAGATTTGGGGTTGAAGACAGTACCTTGTGGAAAAGAATTCTGTGTAGTAGATATCAGTTTAATGGTGGGCGTTGGCTTCCTTTTCCAAGTTCTAGTGGCTGCTACTCAAGATTGTGGGGTGGGATTTTAAAAATTGGCTAATCAAACCCTCTCTTATTGACCCATTTTTTCTGGAAAACTCACAGCTAGTCGTGGGGAATAAGTGTAGAATTCAGTTTTGGGATGATCATTGGTTGGGGAATCAGTGCATCAAGAGTGACTTTCCTAGGCTTTACAGTCTATCAACTGAGAATGAGTTATCTTTCCAAATGATGATTGAAAGGAAAAGGAACTCGGGTGGATGGAATTTCAATTTTAAAAGATCCTTATTTGCTTGGGAGTATGAGGAGTTGGTAAGATTATGTAATGTTCTGAATCAAGTAGAGGTGATGACTTCAATCAGGGAGGATTCTATGAAGTGGTTGGCATGTCCATCACATCAGTTCAGTGTCTCTTTGGTCAGTTCAGTGTCTCTTCCCTCTATAATTTGTATGTGTCTAGTAATTCTGTGGTAGTTACTAAGCTGTTGTGGAACAATGTTGCTCCACCAAAAGTCCAATTTCTTAGTTAGTTGGCTTGGAAGGGGAGATTGAAGATTGCTGGGTTCTTACAAAAAATTGGTGTGTTGCACCAAAATGCGTCTGTCAATTGTGTGTTCTGTAGATGTACCATTGAAACAGTCAAGCATGTACTTCTCTAGTGTCCTGTTATTTGGCAGGTGTGGTCATGCCTGATGAATTGGTGTGGGGTGCATTGGGTGATACCTAATAATGTTAATGGGCTGCTGCTACAATGGTGAAGGGGTTATAAATGGAGCAAATTTGAAAATCAAATTTGGAAGGCAATCCTAATGTCCTGTATGTAGTCAATATGGAGAATAAGAATGATGTGATCTTTAATGGGAAACTATTCCAGTTGAATGAACTCTGTGAATTAATCAAGGTGAGAATTGCTTTTTGGGTTAAAGCTCAAGCAAAGGAGGCTCTGTATTCAGTACAGGATATTATTAATAATTTGCAACAGATTAGAGCTATTGGTTGCTGAACTGTTTGATGCTGCTTTGGCTAGATGCTGCTGCTGTTTTCTAGTTGGGCCACTTGCTGCTCTTGTTGTTCTTCTCTATCTTGGGCTTTTTTGTTGCTGCTAGTTGATACCATAAATATGTAGCTTAGGGCATTGGTGCGGGTAGTTCAGGGGATTGCTGAGGCTGTGTTGTTTTGGGCCTTTTTCCATATTGTTTCGTTTTCTTCTTTATTTGTTGGATTGGTCTCTCTCTAATCTTGGGCTTAGTGCTCTCATGTGATTGTGCTAGCCCCTCAGTGCCAACCTAGTTAGGATTGTTGTGGTTAGCTATGATGGTCGATTCACTTCTCCCCTTTATTGATGTTTGTTTTTCATTTTTGTATTACTTTTCATCAATAAAGTTTCTTTTTTGCTAATCCAAAAAAAAAAAAAAAATCAAATTATTATTATTTTAGTTCCAATTAACTTAATATTGTTATACTAATTTCTCACAGTGTTGTCCAATCAAGCACAGATTTTGTTTACTGTAGTGCACAATATTGTGAAGAAGATTAACAAATCTAATAACCTTGGTAGACATTGTAAATCTTGGCTGACAAATTTGTCGGACAATGGATGAAGGCTCCATTCCGTTAGTAAGAATTTGATTTGAAACAGGAATTGTTTAAGCATGTTAAGTTTTTGTTATTGACAATTCTGTTTGACAAAACTCTTTTCAGTTATAATTTTATTCGTTCTTTTATTTCAGTAAGGCTATGAGTATTTAGATGCGAATCCAACCCGAATTGTGCCTATGTAGAGGTATTTGTGATCTTAATCATATTAAGTTTGCCATTTCGCTGACTATGTCGGGGATTGAGCGGCCATTAGCGCACTCGAGCGGAGAATCCTTGGTTTCAGAAGTTTGAACTATCTGCAAAAATACTAGGAGTTGTGTTTTTGCGTTCGAGCGTAGATCCGTGTTCTGAAACACGTGTTTTAGTCAGACCGCTCGAGCGGCCATTTCTGCGCTTGAACGGAGATCGCGGTTCTGTTTTCTATAAATCTGTAGTTTGCTTCAATTTTAGGTTATGGCTTCCAGCTCCGATTTTAGGTTTTGGCTTCCAGATTTTCTTTTTGGGAATTAGGGTTTTCATCTGGAGCTTGTTTGCTAGTTTTCTTTGATGTTTGGTTGAGTATTAAACTCATGGTTTGACAAGTATACATCAAAAAGATGATTGTTTATGCACAAAAGAGAGAGTAGTTCTTCGGTGGGTTTAGGGGAATTCGGGCCTGAAGCTTTGGTAGATTCTGGAGTGGCCCATCGTCGTGCATTTGACATCAGCGTTGTGGATTCAACGTTGGGCAAGATAATTCTGAGGTGAAGACGGTGGTGGGAGAGGCATATAGGGGTCGGTTCGATTAGGGCGTGGATTCGCTAGGTAATTGAAAGTATACTTGTGTAATTCATTTTTGTCTTCTTAGTAGATATTTTGTGACTTTTGCCTGTTATTTTTTTTTTATCACAATTGGAAGTGCTCCAATTGTGATTTTTCTATGTAAAATCGTTGTGTCAATTTGCCTTTGATTGTTTGATTGAGATTGATATTTACTGTTTAAAATTGATACATAATCACAAATCAATATCTCCGAAATTTTTAGATTTTTCAAAGCATAATAAATGAGTTGATTAATTTGTCAAGATCTTGATGACCATTAAACATATTTAGTGTCCACCTGTCATTTTGTCATGGAAGATTGGAGGATCCTCTAATTCTCCTAGAAATGGAGAGCAGCTGAACAATGGAACTAAAATATTCATTCCTTAAATTTTTTCTCCTTCATTAAATTTGATTCTTCCATATAAATTAATTTTATTTCATTTTGTTTTGTTTCGTTTTGTTTTTATTATTTTTTGTTAATATGTGTCACAATCTTATTTGTTTATAAATTAATTTTATATTTTCAAAATAAAATTGTAAAGTTCGATACTTTCTTAAATTATTTAGTAATACATTATCGTTATATCATTATTTCTTATGATTGATTTGTCTCTACTCTTTTTCTCACAATTATGCCCTCATTATATTTGTTTTTATTGAATTATTTTTATAAAATTTTTGTAGAATGGATCAAATCCGTATTCATGAATGAAATGGATAAAATTTTTGTAGAATGGATCAAATCCGTATTCATGAATGAAATGGACCAAGTTACTAATGTGACGCAAGTTACGACAGTGGAACATTCACTACATGGTAATATTTTTATTAATATTTTACTTTAGGGTAAATAACACTTTACACTTCGTACTTTGCACTAAATCTCATTTTAATCTTTGCATATGAAATCATAACAATTAATCCCCTACAGTTTTGGTTAAATTCCACTTTGATTCATGCACATAATATTGTGACAGTCAATCCTCTGTAGTTTTGATCAAATCTCATTTTGGTTCTTATACAAATGTCAATGTCTCATTTTTGTTGCTCAATTGTTTAAATATTTAACATAATGTAGTAATGTGATAAGAATGTGACTACAACATGAAGGTAAGAAAGAAAAATCTTTTACATGTTCTACCAATACTCATTTTATCCTAAAATTTACATCAAAATATTATTGTATTAGGTTAAGACAAAACGCAGATTGTGAACCATTAAGAAAATGAACTAGTGTTTTGCATAAATTAGAATCATGAAACTTTGTTTTTTGTAATAATACAGTCTTCTGTTTATTCATCTTTCTTTTTGTTTGATTTGTTTGTTGCATTTTTTTTATTTTAAAATTTCTACTCTCTTACTTTTTCATACCAATTTTTACCATATGAAGATATATATATATATATATATATATATATATTGTATTATATGAATCTCATGTACTTATCACATAGGACATAATTTATTGATAGGAAACATGGAAGATTTTTCTCTCTTACTCTCATTTCGTAATTATCACATTTTTATTACGTCACTAGATTTTGTTAAAAATTTAAAAATAAAGTAATAGAAAATGAACATTGACATTTGTGTAAGAACCAAAGTGAGATTTAAGTAAAAGTGCAGGGGGTTGACTATTACGTTTTCATGTGTAGGGACCAAAGTGAGATTTGATCAAAAATGTAGGTGGTTGACTATAATAATTTCATATGTAGGGGCCAAAGTGATATTTGGTACAAAATATAATTTACCATTTACTTTAATAAAATATTTTTTTTTTTTTCTATTAAGACATTCATATGCATTTTCTTTTCAAGTAAAACACAAATCTTAAACATTAACCATGCTATGCACAGCTAATAACTTTATTATTAGAAGTACATTTTCTTTTCAAGCAAAATTTTTCTTGGATAAGCTATCAATAGAACCTAATAGTTAGATTTAATTCCTATCAAGTCTTATTGAAAATAAGTTTTAATACAATAGTTGCTAAAAATAATTTTTTGTAATGATTAAGGAAGGTTCCAATTTGCAATTACTACGACATTACGCTAAAAATTATTACACTTTAGTGAAAAGTTTATGATTTTATATATTAATATTTATAATGTTCACCACTTTTTTGTAATTTTTTTTCTAACACCACTGAGGTGTAATTTTCCCTTTTAAAAATGTGACAGCGTTGTTATTTCATATGAGAATAATTGAGAAAAACTCGTCAAATTTGTGTTACTTTGTTGATTATACAATGCATTTATATGTTGATTATACTTTTTTGTTTTTACTTGAAAAATGTAATTCGGATGCCATCGTGATTAAATTTGACATTTCCTTCCATTAGCCAACAAGTTTAATTTGTTTTATGACATACAGTGAGCCAAAAATTGCAAGTCATGCTTTGGAAAGTCCTTGAATTATTAGGTAATTAACAAGATATACTACTTGGTTAAAATATACATTGATTCAATTATTTTTCTAGTTTGATTATACACTTTCAACTAAAAAAAATTACTACATCTATGAGAATTGTGTTATTGCAGTGCCTCACATAAAACGCATCAAAAAGAAAAAATTGATGCATCTTCAAGCAATTCAGCTAGTCAAATGCATGTGTGAGAAAATTAGATCTTCAAATAACTTAGACGCTTATGAGTCACTTTGCAAGGATGTAATGCATACAGCTGCAAGGTTAGGGATTCGTGAGGTTGTTGAAGAGATTATTGAATCATTTCCTCAAATAATCTGGCTTGAGGACGCAGATAATCATAACATATTTCAACTAGCAGTTATATACCGTTGTGAAAATGTTTTCAGCCTCTTATTTCAAATGAGTAGGCATACACAAAGTTTGATGATAAAGATGAATAGTTCTCAGAACTCTATACTGCACTTGGCTGGACAACTGGCACCTCCTGACAAACTCAATCTTGTTCCGGGTGCAGCTTTGCAAATGCAACGTGAGTTACAATGGTATAAGGTAATAAATATATTCCATTAATTATTTATTTACAATAATGTTATGGTAATCAAACTTGGGTAATAAATTTTAGATATCTGATATGTCACCAATGCATTGGTATGGAACAAATGTAATTCAAAATTTGATACCCAAATTGATTCTCATACCATTGAAGTATATTACATTTATTTGTGAGCATGTGCATGTTTTTCATTCGTAAAGCATAGTACGAAATTCGGTTCAAATATAAATTCAAAATTTAGTTTTTGACCTTATCCAAGAAACAAGTCAAGTATATTCCATTATTTCAAATCTATGGCTATCATGCAGGAAGTGGAGAAGTTTGTAATGCCCTATGACAAAGAGCTTCTAAACAAAAATGAAGGTGAAATTCCTTCAATGATATTTACTAGAGAACACAAAACATTAGTAAAAGAAGGAGAAAAATGGATGAAAATCACTGCGAATTCCTGCACAATAGCAGCAGCACTCATTGCCACTATAGCATTTGCAGCTATAATTACGGTTCCAGGTGGCAACAATAACACAAGTGGCTTCCCAGTTTTCTCAAAAATAAATGCATTTATTGTCTTTATCGTTTCAGATGCAATCTCTCTATTCACATCCACCACGTCTCTATTGATGTTCTTGTCCATCCTCACTTCGCGCTATGCAGAAGGTGATTTTCTTTATGTTTTGCCTAAGAGGTTGATAATCGGTCTTGCTACCTTGTTCCTGTCCATAACAACCATGATTATAGCATTCAGTTCCGCACTTTATCTTGTGTTTGGCAACAATAAGGAATGGATTCTTATTCCAATGGTTGCACTGGCATGTCTGCCAATCACTTCTTTCGTGTCCTTGCAATTTCCCCTCCTTGTGGATCTCATCTCTTCAACATATGGCCCTGGCATTTTCAGGTACGAAAAGTGATCAGCTCTTTTATTAGTTACCATCAGCAACAAGGTGAAGAATTCCAAGCATGTATCATTTTTGGTTTCTTGAATCAGAACTTATAGATGTATGAAAATTCAATGTTCTATTCGTATATCATTATAAAAATCACTCTCTAGGGAGAGCAAGGTATAAGTGGGACTGATATCCGTTGTTACTTCTTTTATTCTTGAGAATGTCCTAAATTTTTAGATTACTAGAATTGAATCCAGGAAACTATTTGTCAATTCTATGTTTCCTTACGTTGTGTTTGGATAGAAATTTAGAACGACAAGAGAAAAATAGAGAAAAAAATTTAACTTATATTTCATTCATATTTACCCAGTGATATATATGAAAGATAATTGATTCATGATTAAAGAATATATGAGAGAGAGAGAGAGAGAGATACCTTAGATTGATTGTCATAACAATAAGTTTGAAAAATGGATTTAACTTTTAGGTTAGAATTAATGCCATTTATTTATTTATTTATGGGATAGAATTCAAAGAATTTTTCTTCGTGAAGAAAATTGAAAATGCTCTAAAGAATATATTGGAAAAGAATATTTCTAGTAGAAGATGGACATTTTTTTATAAATTAAACACATAAATTGACATAGAGAGCTACAGACATAGATAACAAATATTAGGGGTGTAAAAATTTGGCCTGACCCACTGTTGGGCAGCATGGGTTCCTGTCAAAATTCGGACCAGGCTGGTGTAGCTTGACTTTTCGTACTCCTTTCGGATACGATAACCCTACAGTTCGAACTCCCGTGATTCTAAATCTGATTTCACAATTACAATGTGGAATAGATAAACGCCTCGTTTGGCAAGTGACTTTTTTAGTAAAAAAGTCAAAAAGTTACTAAAAAAAATCAAAAAGCCAACAACCCATATCAAAAAGTCAAAGATTCATTTTTCTCTTTACTTTTTGCACATCTTTTCATAAAAAGTCAAAAGGTCATCCCAAACATACTAGTTTTTTTTACATCATATTTTAGCCAAAATGCCAAAAAGTTATTAAAAAAGCCTGTTCCCAAACGAGGCTAGTCCAAATTAAGCAAATCTTTTGAAAAATAAATTTTGAATCAAAATGCAAAAAATGGACTGCTTTGCTAAATACATGATCGCCACCTAAATATTTTTGAAAAATTTAGGAAACCTGGGACTCGTGCCAAAGGTCACTTATCCGTTATCACAAAAGTGTCTTGGCTTGGGAACTTAGGTATGAGAGGGGAATGTCATGAATTAAGCACCCCCGCTCGCCCGATCAAAGATCTGCCTCTACTAATCATGATGTGAATCTTATTTACATTATATGCTATTGTTCCGGTTATTAGGCTAACATTACTATGTAATACACACAAGTATAGACCAATTTGCAAAAATTGAAACACTTTGATTTCACGTTTGTTTTGAAAATTGTTTTGAACACATGTCACTTGAAAAAGTGAGCCCGTATGTACATTGATCAATTCATCCCAATTTTAACAATTAGCCTTCATCCACAGGCATTCAAACAAGTATATCAATTAAGCTCTTAGCCTCATGGTATTTATGATTGACATGGCAACAATCACATGCATGCAATATGCTAAAGCAATAAAAACTTACCCCAATTCCCGAGGTGAGCCAAAAGAGAGAAACTAGTTAGAAAAATGCATGATCCTAACTAATGAAGTATGTCTAATGCAACACATACAATATGCGATTAGAGGTCCGACTAATTAACATGACATATGAATCAATTTGATTGCATGCAGTTTTAACCATGTTTTCAAAGAAGTATTTAAAGGACAATGCTTGTTAGAATGATGAGCCGAACTTCATGTATGCAAGACTAATGGATGCTTTGTGCATGGAAAATGCTAAAAGAAACATGATGCTCTATTCTAACCATCATAAGTATTTAAATAAAAGGGAGAAAGACGTGGGGTTGGAAGACATACACATTTTTGCAATTTAGCCCTTGTACAAGAGGGTCCGAATAAATAGCCTAGCTAAGCTAATTAACTAACTATTACAAACCCAATGAAATAAATTAACTACACTAGCTAATTATTACAAATTGAAACTAACTAATTAATTATACTAACTCATTAGTTACAAACTAGAATTAACTAATTAAATACAACACAAAGACAATTTATACAAAGGACTAACTAAACAATTACACTATAGAATTAATTAAGCTAAGTAATTAATTACTCTAACTAATCAGCCCTGAGAAGTAAGGAATTCTCATGCATGAAGGTGGTTTCCACCTAAAAATGCTCTCTGTTCTGCTGCCAGAATGCACCTATTGTATAGTTAGAAAATTACACTTTCACCTTAGTTTCTACTTTGTTCTGCAGGAAAAAGGACACTGCCTAGTTGAAAAAAAGTGGCTCGCAGGCCAGAAGTGGTGGTCAACCGCCCATTAATAATGGCTTGCCATACAATAAAGGTGGCCTGCCGACCACCAATGTTGGGTTTCTCCTGTTGCAACAGAAAACAAACAGAGCACAAACAGAGCATTCTTAGGGGATGTTTGTCCACCCTGCCTCTCCTTATCATCAGACAGCTCAAAGGAGGGATAGGTTTGATTCGCAAGCCGTCAATCGACACAAGTTCATTACGTGATGGCTTATGAATCGAGGGATATAATTTCAATAAATGCACAATGAAAGACTCACAAACCTCCTCCCTATCATGATTTTGATCAAGGATGATGGTTGACATTGACTCTCAAACCATTATCATCACTAACAAGTATGAAATGGCCTAAGACTCAATGGGTTCAACTATCATCCGGTTGAACCCCAAACCACTTTATTATCTTGTTCCATTTTAGCCCAAATTTTATTACTCAATTTTAATTACCTTTCTATTCATTAGTCAATTAAGTCCAATAATGAAGATTGAGTCCACTAATGGAGAGAAGCATCAAACAAAGGGTGGTTTTGGGCATGAGAGAAACGTCACGCCGTTGGTAATGAATGTCTGAAAGGATTAAACCATTAAGTACAACAATCTCTATCTCAAGCTTAAACAACCAATCGGTTGAAATAACTCTCAAGGCAATGAAAAGCCAAGAAATGAGAGAGGTGTAAAGGTGATTATAGGTGAACACGAGTATGGAAAGCACTAAATACATGCTATCAACTTAAATAGGTCGGTGTCTAATGCCTAAAACACTAAACCTATGAGGACCATTACACTACAAGCATATCAAACAAAGCATGAATGGAACAAACACATAAACATAGTCCTAAGTTACACAAAAACAGTGCTGGAAATAACATGAAAAAGCTTGAAAAAATTAGCTAAAATAATGAGAAAATTAAGCTAGTAAACAAGCATAAGAGGGGTGGTTAGCCCCTCAATTTTTGGGACTTTAAGACTATATTTTTAACCTGTGAAAAACTTTGAAATTTAATGGTAAAAGTCTCAAAAAGAGTTGAGGAAAAGATGGGAAACACAAGGGCAAAAGCTTAGGAGACAAGCTTCAAAGAAGGGTGGGTTACCCCTCTACCTTTTGATAGCTTTTAACCATAAGTTTCAGCCCATAAATATAGTTGAAAAACAGCCCAAAAGTAGTAAGAAAAGATAAGAAAGAAGTAGTGTAAAGATTGCACAAGTTATATGCGATAACCCTGTTCCGTATTATGCTAATTGGTCCTTATTGTGAATGTGATTATGTGTCTGATATGATTTTGTGTGCCATTTATGTGAAAATATGTGGTTTTGAATTTCTATCTATTCACCGTAAGGATATCTGTTTGATTATTTGCTTTGGAATTTAAATTGAAGGCCCTATCGGCCACAGAAACCGAAATTGACTACGCCATTATGATTGGAGTAATTTTTAGAGCCTACGGTGAAATTTAATTGAAAATTGATTCGGATCAAATTAATTAGATTAAATTAGCGCTCAAATATTTAAATATTAATGAAATGTGTTGAGAGAGGGCTTGTATAAGGGACTCTACTACACTTTTACTTTATTTGTTGAGCTCAAAGCTGAGAATCACTCTAACGAGAGGGAGTGAGGGTCGGTTAGAGAGAGAGAGAGAGAGAGCTCAAGTTGATGAATTGCTCAAGAAGCTTGAATAAATTGAAGACTAACTCAAGAATTACGCGTAAGCTTGGAAGATTAAAGCTTTTAGGTGAGTAATTGGTTATGAATTCATGAGTTTAATATTGTAATTTTGTGAATTCAAAGTTGTATGGTGATCAAGAACAAGAATTGTGTTGTATTTGATGAATTTGAAGTCATGGAATGCATGCATGTGTATAATTGCCATGAATTTGTGTAGTTGAGCATGAAAAGTATGATCCATGTAGGATTTGGTTAGAGTTCATGCTTGTGATCACCATTTGCACCATTTAAGTTGAAAATGGAAGTTATATCTCACATGCATGTACAATTCATGATGGTATGAGTTTGAATACATGAAATTGTATGTTGGAAATAAGTTTGGTGTAATTTGGGACATGCATGTGATTAATTCATGAAATTGAGCTTCATAATGTAATGAATTTGGTGTTGGATCATGTTAGTACATGTACATGGGAAGTTTGAGCCATAATATGCTAGATATGTTTATTTGAATGCAAGCTTGAAGCTCAAGAACAATTTTGGATTTTCCAGAATTTGGGATGTCCGCTTGAGCGGGGAAGGCGCCGCTCGAGCAGGAAATACGAGCTCCCAGAACTTTTTGCAGACATGGATGTGTGCTCGAGCGGGGAAGTTCACATTCGAGCGGGGAGCTATGTAGAATGACCTTCAGCTCGAGCGCCCGAATTCACGCTCGAGCGTAAAAACGAGGCAACCAGCACTTTTGCAGACGTAACGGGTCCGCTCGAGCGGGAAAGTCCATGCTCGAGTGGGGACCCCTGTTTCAGAAATTTTGTAAAGACGTTCTGTGTTTCGTTTTCCATTCTCTTTCACTTCTAAGTACTCTTAGGCATGCATTAGGTATTATGAATGAATAAAAAGGATAAGAAAGAAGACTAAGAGGAATTTATGAATTAAGAACAGATTGAATTATTTGTGACCCGTTGTGTTCATGGAATGTGTAGGGTCGAGCTCCAGGGCAAATCATCCAACCGATCACTGTGGGTAATATCTTAATAAAGATATTTTGAAACATGTTATTTGTCCAATTACTTATTTCTTTATAAGTTTTATGAGTTTTTCGATTTGAATTGTGGACAAATGTTTGCTATGCCATATGGTTGGGCCTAAGGCCGTTTGTTA